CAGGGAGTGAGGAGGGGCTGAAGGGAAGAGAGAGACAGGGAGGCCGGAGGGGGCAGAGAGAGAAAGTGGAGTGGCATGAGAGCAGGGGAGGAGAGCAGAAAGGGAGGCAGCGAGGGGAGAGAGAAGAGCGCCAGGAGAGGAGGTGGGAAGAGAGACAGAGGAGAGGATGCGGGGTTGGAGAAGAGAGACAGGGATTAGGAGGCGGGGGGGGAGCAGAGACAAGAGAGGAGCGAGGGGGAGAGCAGACAGGGAGGAGGAGGGGGAAGAGAGAGACAGAGGGGGAGGGGGGGAGGAGGGGAAAGAGAGAAGACAGGGAGAGGAGGGGGAGGACGAGAGACAGGGAGGAGCGGAGCGGCGGGAAGAAGAGACAGGAGAGGAAGCGGGGACGGGGGAGGAGAGAGAACAGGGAGCCCCGAGGAGGGGGGAAAAAGAGAGAGAAGGCAGGAGGAGCGGGGGGAGATGAGACAGACGGAGGAGGGAGTGCAGGGGGCAGGGGAGAGAGGAGACAGGGGGAGAGAGGGGAGCCCCCAGAGAGAGACAGGAGAGGAGGGGGACGAGAAGAGAGACAAGGGAGGAGGAGGCGTGGAGAGCGAACAGGAGGAGAAGAAGGGGGAGTGCAGAGAAGGGCAGGGAGAGGAGGGGGAAAGAGAGAGACAGGGCAGGAGGAGGCGGGAGAGGCAGAGAGCGAGAGAGAGAGACAGGGAGGAGGAGGAGCGGCTGCGAGAGCGAGAGAGAACAGGAGGCAGGAGGGGCGAGAGAGAGACATGGATGAGGAGGGAGGATAGAGAGAAGACAGGGAGGGGAGGAGGGGGGAGGAGCGGGATGAGCAGACAGGGAGGGGGATGGGGACGGGAAAAGAGAGAGAAGGAGGGGAAAAAGAGAGAGAAGGGAGGGGGAGATGAGAGACAGGGAAGGAAGGAGGTGGGACGATGTGAGAAGAAGGGAATGGGGGAGGCGGAAGAGAGAGAAGAGAGGGGGAGGAGAGACAGGGAGGAGGAGGGGGAGAGAGAGAGACAGGGAGGAGGAGGGGGAGTGAGAGAAGGGAGGGGGAGGGGAAGAGAGAGACCAAGGACTGATCACCCCAATCCACAAAAGTGGAGACAAATTTGACCCCAATAACTACCGTGGGATATGCGTCAACAGCAACCTTGGGAAAATCCTCTGCATTATCATTAACAGCAGACTAGTTCATTTCCTCAGTGAAAACAATGTACTGAGCAAATGTCAAATTGGCTTTTTACCAAATTATCGTACGACAGACCACGTATTCACCCTGCACACCCTAATTGACAAACAAAAAAACAAACCAAAACAAAGGCAAAGTTCTCATGCTTTGTTGATTTCATAAAAGCTTTTGACTCAATTTGGCATGAGGGTCTGCTATACAAATTGATGGAAAGTGGGGTTGGGGGAAAAACATACGACTATCAAATCCATGTACACAAACAAGTGTGCGGTTAAAATTGGCAAAAAAAACACACATATTTCTTTTCACAGGGCCGTGGGGTGAGACAGGGATGCAGTTTAAGCCCCACCCTCTTCAACATTTATATCAACGAATTGGCGAGGGCACTAGAACAGTCTGCAGCACCCGGCCTCACCCTACTAGAATCTGAAGTCAAATGTCTACTGTTTGCTGATGATCTGATGCTTCTGTCCCCAACCAAGGAGGGCCTACAGCAGCACCTAGATCTTCTGCACAGATTCTGTCAGACCTGGGCCCTGACAGTAAATCTCAGTAAGACAAAAATAATGGTGTTACAAAAAAGGTCCAGTTGCCAGGACCACAAATACAAATTCCATCTAGACACCGTTGCCCTAGAGCACACAAAAAACTATACATACCTCGGCCTAAACATCAGCGCCACAGGTAACTTCCACAAAGCTGTGAACAATCTGAGAGACAAGGCAAGAAGGGCCTACTAAGCCATCAAAAGGAACATAAAATTTGACATACCAATTAGGATCTGGCTAAAAATACTTGAATCAGTTATAGAACCCATTGCCCTTTATGGTTGTGAGGTCTGGGGTCCGCTCACCAACCAAGAATTCAAACAATGGGACAAACACCAAATTGAGACTGCATGCAGAATTCTGCAAAATATCCTCCGTGTACAACGTAAAACACCAAATAATGCATGCAGAGCAGAATTAGGCCGATACCCACTAATTATCAAAATCCAGAAAAGAGCCGTTAAATTCTATAACCACTTAAAAGGAAGCGATTCCCAAACCTTCCATAACAAAGCCATCACCTACAGAGAGATGAACTTGGAGAACAGTCCCCTAAGTAAGCTGGTCCTGGGGCTCTGTTCATAAACACAAACATACCCCACAGAGCCCCAGGACAGCAACACAATTAGACCCAACCAAATCATGAGAAAACAAAAAAAGAGAATTACTTGACACATTGGAAAGAACTAACAAAAAAACAGAGCAAACTAGAATGCTATTTGGCCCTAAACAGAGAGTACACAGTGGCAGAATACCTGACCACTGTGACTGACCCAAACTTAAGGAAAGCTTTGACTATGTACAGACTCAGTGACCATAGCCTTGCTATTGAGAAAGGCCGCCGTAGGCAGACCTGGCTCTCAAGAGAAGACAGGCTATGTGCACACTGCCCAGAAAATGAGGTGGAAACTGAGTTGCACTTCCTAACCTCCTGCCAAATGTATGACCACATTAGAGACACATATTTCCCTCAGATTACAGCGATCCACAAAGAATTTGAAAACAAACCCAATTTTGATAAACTCCCTTATCTACTGGGTGAAAAACCACAGTGTGCCATCACAGCCGGAACAATATTGTGCCTGCTTGCCACAGAAAAGGGCAACCAGTGAAGAACCAAACTACCATTGTAAATACCACACATTATTTATGTTCATTTATCTTTCCCATTTGCATACTTAACTATTTGCACATTGTTACAACCAATGTATCTAGACATATATATGACATTTGAAATGGACAGCGGAGAGAGCGGGGGGAGAGAGAGGAGAGAGACAGGAGGAGGAGGCGAGGAAGAAGAAGAGCCAGGAGGCGGGGGTGTGAGAGAGACAGGAGGAGGAGGGGAGGCTGCGGAAAAGCAGCAGAGACAGGGAGGCAGGAAGGAGGCAGGGGCGAGAGAGGGAGAGAATAGGGAGGAGGATGGAGGGGGAGGCAGAGATGAGACAGGAGCGAAGGAGGGGAGAGAGCAGAGGAAGGAGGGAGGAGAGGGGAAGGAGGATGCAGGAGAGAAAGAGGAGGATGCGAGGGCGGGAGAGAGAGGTGGAGAGAGGACGAGAGACAGGGAGAGGAGGGGGGAAGAGAGAAGAGAGACAGGCGAGAGGAGGGGGGAAAAAGAGAAGAGAGAGGACAGGAGGAGGAGGGGAGAAGAGAGAAGACAGGGAGGAGGAGGGGGAGAGAGAGGGATGAGAGAAGAGACAGGGAGGAGGAGAGGTGAGCCAGAGGACAGGGAGGAGGAGGGGGGGGAGAGAGAGACAGGGAGAGGGATGGGGGGGGAAGAGAAACAGGGAGGAGGAGAGGGGGGAGAGAGAGACTAAGTGTGGAGGAGGGGCGGGGAGTTCGGAGAGAGATGACAGAGAAGGAGGAAAGGAGCGAGGGGGAGGAGAAAGAGTGGCGAGAGAGGGACAGGGAGGAGGAAGGTGGGGGTAAAGGAAGAGACAGGGACAGGAGGAGGGGGGGAGAGGACAGGGAGGAGGATGGGGGAATAGAGAGAGACAGGGAGGGGGGGGGAGAGAAACAGGGCAGGAGGAGGCGGCAGAGAGAGGCATAGAGAGAGAGGACAGCAGGAGGAGGAGGGGGGAGAGAGAGGGAACAGGGAGGAGGACGGGGGGGGGATGAGAGAGACCGGAGAGGAGGGAGGATAGAGGGGAAGCAGAGAGAAGAGGAGGAGGGGGGACAGAGAGAGACAGTGGAGCTAGGAAGGGGGGGAGAGAGAGACAGGGAAGGAGGAGGGGGGGAGAGGGGAGGAGAGACATGGAGGAGGAGGGGGAAAAGAGAGCAGAGACAAGGCAGGAGGAGGGGGAGAGAGAAGAAGAGACAGGGAGGAGGAGGGGGGGAGAGAGACAGGGAGGAGCGAGAGGGGAAGAAGAGAGAAAAGGCAGGGAAGGCAGGGGAGAGAGAGACAGGCAGGAGGAGGGAAGAGAGAGAAAAGGAGGAGGAAGGAGGGGAAGAGAGAGAGACAGGGAGAGAGGACGAGAGGAGAGAGAGAGATAGGGAGACGAGGAGGGGCAGAGAGGAGAGAGACAGGGGAGGAGGAGGGGAGAGAGACGAGAAGAGGTAGAGACAGGGAGGAGGAGGGGAGGAGGAATGGAGGAGGAGGGGGGAAGAGAGAGACAAGGAGGAGGAGGGGAGAGAGAGAGACAGGGAGGAGGAGGGAGAGAGAGAGACAAGGAGGAGGAGGGGGGGAGAGAGAAAACGAAAGAGTAAGAGACAGACAGACGAGAAGCCATTTCCCCCCAGTTCCTTAACTCAAAGGTCACTTTCCTTTCCTGTTTAGATATGACGACCAGGGTCCGAAGGCACAGTGGTGGTGTGAATCTTGTATATAGATTGTCAGACTATTTCTTTTTATAGCCTTCAGTTTACTCGCTGTTAGTCTGGCTCCTGAGATGCGCAGCGGTCTGAGGCACTGCATCTCAGTGTTTGAGGCGTCACTACAGACCCTGGGTCGATTCCAGGCTGTATCACAATCCGGCCGTGATCGGGAGTCCCATAGGGCGGCTGTCATTGTAAATAAGAATTTGTTCTTAACTGACTTGCCTAGTTAAATAAAATGTTTTTTAACCCCTACTGACATTTTTGGGTGTGCGCCAGCTCATGCTTTCTATTATTACAGTAATAACAAGAAAACACCACCACACAAAATAACAACCCACCACACCCTACCAACCCCACAGACCAAACCAACCCCACAAACCAAACCAACAGACCAAACCAACACCACACCACACCAGGTGCACAAAGCAAACGACAACCCTCGCTTAAAATAACTAACTCACCTCTATATTCTTGACGTAACAGTCCGAGGTGGAGGCCCTAACCTTCTCCACCATGGCCGTCACCAGACAGCTGGTCTGAAACTGTTTGGTGGTGAACTCCTTCCTACACTGGGGACAGGAGACCGGTGTCTGGGTGCCCCTCCAGTAGGTACTGATACAGGGCTTACAGAAGTGGTGCATGCACCCCAGCATCACCGGCTCAGTGAAGAGGTCACAGCAGATTGGCACAGGTCAAGTCTTCTCTGAGACTGGACTGGCTCTTACTGTTGGGAGCCGCCGCAGACATGATTGGGGACTGTCTGTTCTTTTATAACGAGGCACTTCAGTTCTTCGACAGGCTAGAGGCAGACCACAGGGCTGGTAGCTAAGAGACTGTAGGGTGAGAGAGAGAGAGAGAGAGAGAGAGAGGGGGGGGGGGGGGGGGGAGAGAGAGAGAGAGAGAGAGGGGGGGGGGAGAGAGAGAGAGAGAGAGAGAGAGTCATAATGCTTTTTTGAGAGAGAGTCTTAATACTTTTTGTGTGTTGCTAAAACACAGACACACACTCCTTTAGGCTTATTCCTATCAGTACAGTAAGTGTACACCTAGCTACACTGATACTCAGTGATATTAACTGACAGTAGGCTAATAGTTTACCCCTTTAGCTTTCTAAACTCGTCACCATCTATAGTGGAATTTATCTAAAACACAAACTGTCTTTTCATCCAGGCTACAGTATAAACATTAGTCTTCAGAGAGACTACACCCAGCAAGCGAATAACATTAGGTATATTACATTGCTAACCATTAGGGTGGGGATGGGGGGGGGCTCACTAAAGAAAACATACATTACAGTTCATTAGCTAACTAGCGTGAGTAGCTTCTAATCACAAGTCATTTTCGCTTTCGTAATAACTGGTCACAGGACTCTGCACTCGAAAGTAAACGGGACAATGACATAATCAGCTGACGTGAACAGTTAGGGTTAGGGTTAGAGCAAAAACACAAAGACAGTTCAGTATGACGCCAGGCAGAAACTGCTTGTCCAATAGAAATGGGGCGGTAGGTAGCTTAGTGGGTAAGAGCGTTGTGCCAGTAACCGAAAGGTCGCTGGTTCTAATCCCCGAGCCGACTAGGTGAAACATCTGTCGATGTGCCCTTGAGCAAGGCACTTAACCCTAGTTGCTCCTGTAAATCGCTCTGGATAAGAGCGTCTGCTAAATAACAAAACAAATCTCCGATCCCGCTAGTAGGCGACGTCATGGCGACGTTGCGTAGAAACACCTAGTCGCGTCTAACGGTCGTCTCGCTCCGAACTGCGCAGGTCGTCAAATAAAAAAAAAAGGCACTCCTTCGATATAAAGTTGTTTTTGACGAAAATTAAAACGTGTCACGTTTGTCACTTTCACGAGGTTGGAGTAATAACGTGTTCAACTACTTAAGCCATTGGCTTGAATCTACGTTGTACCTTTAGGATTCTGAGAAAATTAACAACTAAGGAATAATGTTTTCCTTCTCAAACCCCCGGCCTGGTCGGTTTGGTCTGTTTCGGAAGCCTCGCTTTGTTGCGCCTCTGGGTTTAGAAACCCTGTGGTTATAGTTTGCTGGCAAGCTAGCTAGCTAATGTAAACTATCTAGTTAGCTGCTAAAAACAACAGACATACTAGCAAGTTACTATTTGATTACTTGGTAAACAAGCTGCAACTTGTGCATAAAAGTAGTTGAAGGAACGTGACCTTACTTTCTTTGCAAGTTTTTTTTCGCCAGATGTTAGCTAGTTGGCTACCACACACCCCGTCTCGCCTGTGAATTTCAGAAAGCAACAGTCAGGGTTTCCAGGTCAAGCTAAAATGCCATAACAATGACTACTCAAAACCTGCCCACAAGGCCTAAAAACTATCTAATGCACCTAAAGTCGTTTTCCTGTGCTTTGTCGCAGTTATTTCTTAATACGCGTCAGTTTTAGCGCGTTAATGTTTTATGGAGAAAAAGAAGTTTGGAAATATAGGTGTCTCCATTATGACAATCTAAATAGCCTACCTACAACTGGTAAAAAGTTGTCAGAAAGTGCGCAGTGCTACTCCGTCTCCTTGGACTCAGCTGCAGCGCTCAGTCTCAACACACCGCCCTCCCCACTGTTCACTCACTCAGCTGCAGAGCTCAGTCTCAACACACCGCCCTCCCCACTGTTCACTCACTCAGCTGCAGAGCTCAGTCTCAACACACCGCCCCTCCCCACTGTTCACTCACTCAGCTGCAGAGCTCAGTCTCAACACACCGCCCTCCCCACTGTTCACTCACTCAGCTGCAGAGCTCAGTCTCAACACACCGCCCTCCCCACTGTTCACTCACTCAGCTGCAGAGCTCAGTCTCAACACACCGCCCTCCCCACTGTTCACTCACTCAGCTGCAGAGCTCAGTCTCAACACACCGCCCTCCCCACTGTTCACTCACTCAGCTGCAGAGCTCAGTCTCAACACACCACCCTCCCCACTGTTCACTCACTCAGCAACAGGCTGCCTCAAATCTCCTTCTATTGGCCACATACACGTGTTTAGCAGATGTTTATTGCGAGTGTAGCGAAATGCTTGTGTGCGGTAATATCTAACAAATGACATCTAACAGTTTCACAACATATACCCAATACACACAAATCTAAGTAAAGCAATGGAATTAAGAATATATAAATGTATAAATATATGGAGGGGCAATGTCAGAGCAGCATAGTCTAAGATACCATAGAATAGTATAGAACACAGTATATACATATGAGATGAGTAATGCAGATATGTAAACATTATTAAAGTGACTAGTGTTCCATTTCTTTAAGTGTCCAGTGATTTCAAATCTATGCATATAGGCAGTAGCCTCTAATGTGCTAGTGATGGCTATTTAACAGTCTGATGGCATTGAGATAGAAGCTGTTTTTCAGTCTCTCAGTCCCAGCTTTGATGCACCTGTACTGACCTCGCCTTCTGGATGAAAGCGGGGTGAACAGGCAGTGGCTCAGGTGGTTGCTGTCCTTGATGATCTTTTTGGCCTTCCTGTGACATCGGGTGCTGTAGGTGTCCTGGAGGGCGGGTAGTTTGCACCAAGTGTTGCGTTGGGCAGACCACACCACCCTCTGGAGAGCCCTGTGGTTGTGGGCGGTGCAGTTGCCGTACCAGGCGGTGATACAGCCCGACAGGATGCTCTCAATTGTGCATCTGTAAAAGTTTGTGAGGGTTTTAGGTGCCAAGCCAAATTTCTTCACCTCTGTTTGGGTGGACCATTTCAGTTTGTCAGTGATGTGTACGCCGAGGAACTTGAAGCTTTCCACCTTCTCCACTGCGGTCCCGTCGATGTGGATAGGGGGGTGCTCCCTCTGCTGTTTCCTGAAGTCCACGATCATCTCCTTTGTTTTGTTGACGTTGAGTGAGAGGTTATTTTCCTGGCACCACTCCGCCAGGGCCCTCACCTCCTCCCTGTAGGCTGTCTCATCATTGTTGGTAATCAAGCCTACTACTGTTGTGTCGTCTGCAAACTTGATGATTGAGTTGGAGGCGTGCTTGGCAACGCAGTCATGGGTGAACAGGGAGTACAGGAGGGGGCTGAGCATGCACCCTTGTGGGGCCCCGATGTTGAGGATCAGCGAAGTGGAGGTGTTGTTTCCTACCTTCACCACCTGGGGGCGGCCCGTCAGGAAGTCCAGGACCCAGTTGCACAGGGCGGGGTTCAGACCCAGGGCCTCGAGCTTAATGATGAGCTTGGAGGGTACTATGGTGTTGAATGCTGAGCTATAGTCAATGAACAGTATTCTTACATAGGTATTCCTCTTGTCCAGATGGGAGAGGGCAGTTTGCAGTGTGATGGTGATTGCATCGCCTGTGGATCTATTGGTGCGGTAAGCAAATTGAAGTGGGTCTAGGTTGTCAGGTAAGGTAGAGGTGAGATGATCCTTAACTAGCCTCTCAAAGCACTTCATGATGACAGAAGTGAGTGCTATGGGGCGAGTCATTTAGTTCAGTTACCTTTTCTTTCTTGGGTACAGGAACACTGGTGGCCATCTTGAAGCAAGTGGGGACAGCAGACTGGGATAGGGAGAGATTGAATATGTCCGTAAACACTCCAGCCAGCTGGTCTGCGCATGCTCTGAGGACGCGGCTAGGGATGCCGTCTCGGCCGGCAGCCTTGCGGGGGTTAACATGCTTAAATGTCTTAATCACGTCAGCGATGGAGAAGGAGAGCCCACAGTCCTTGGTAGCGGGCCGCGTCGGTGGCACTGTATTATCCTCAAAGCGGGCGAAGAAGGTCTTTAGCTTGTCCGGAAGTAAGAGGACTGTGTCTGCGACGTGGCTGGTTTTCCCTTTGTAGTCCGTGATTGTCTGTAGTCCCTGCCACATACTTCTTGTGTCTGAGCCGTTGAATTGGGACTGCACTTTGTCCCTATACTGATGTTTTGCCTGTTTGATTGCCTTGCGGACGGAATAACTACACTTTTTGTATTCTGCCATATCCCCAGTCACCTTGCCATGGTTAAATGCGGTGGTTCGCGAATGCTGCCATCTATCCGCGGTTTCTGGTTAGGGTAGGTTTTAATAGTCACAGTGGGTACAACATCTCCTATACACTTCCTGATTAACTCAGTCACCGTATCAGTATATTTGTCGATATTATTCTCTGAAGCTACCCGGAACATATCCCAGTCCGCGTCATCAAAACCATCTTGAAGCGTGGATTCCGATTGGTAAGACCAGAGTTGAATAGTCCTTAGCACGGGTACTGTTTGAGTTTTTGCCTATAGGAAGGGAGGAGCAAAATGGAGTCGTGTTCAGATTTGCCGAAAGGAGGGCGGGGGAGGGCCTTGTAGGCATCCCGGAAGTTGGAGTAGCAGTGGTCGAGTGTTTTAGCAGCGCGAGTACTACAGTCGATGTGTTGATAGAACTTTGGCAGCCTTTTCCTCAAATTTGCTTTGTTAAAATCCCCAGCTACAATAAATGCAGCCTTAGGATATTTGGTTTCCAGTTTGCAGTGAAGTTCCTTGAGGGCCGTCGTGGTATCGGCTTGAGGGGGGATATACACGGCCGTGACTATAACCAAAGAGAATTCTCTTGGGAGATAATACGGTCGGCATTTGATTGTGAGGTATTCTAGGTCGGGTGAACAAAAGGACTTGAGTTCCTGTATGTTATCATAATTACACCATGAGTCGTTAATCATAAAACATACACCTCCG